AGATCAAAAACTATTAAATTAAAGATTCTTCGTGATGGTATCCGGAAAGTTCGCCGACCAGCAATTCGTCGAACGGAAAATTCACTGACTTTATAATCGATCACCGATAATTTATTTATGATGATCGTAAAACAGTATTATTTAGAAATAACATATTTGTAAAATTATGTTAATGAGCAGAATAATTACCCTAATATTACCTACTCACAGAAAAATAAATTTTATCTAATGCATTTATTTTGAAATGGCATATTTGAAAGATTAGTTCATGAGCACATTAATTACCATGCTTCATTCTTGTATTGGGATTGCGGGTAAGGGTTATTGCAACAAGTGAAACAGGTTCAACCTAATGCCTTCCCTGAAACAATTATGATATTATGACCGACTTCGGACCTGCCGCAATTAGTGCTATTCGTCAAGAATTTCCAAGGTCTAGACATCGAGAAGGTTTCTTACCTTTCTCGCAGTCTGTATTTCAAGGATTCAGGCAGAAAATTTTCAAAGAAGGTTCGAAACTGACGTAGAATTTGCTATGAGAATGCGACTGTTGTCAGTGTTGGTCTTTGCCAAACAGAAAATGTGGTAGAAGCATTTTAACTTCTTAGCGGTAGCTGTAATAACATGTCTGAAGAAGCACAACACTTGATTGATTACTTTGAGGACTGCTGGATTGGACGTCCTTAACGACGCATGGGACATCGAATGCCCTACTTCTCCCTAGAAATGAGGAACTGTCACGAAGGAGTAAGACACAGCCTTCTGAAGACAAATACTTCTATTGAAGGGTGGGACCGCAGATTCGAAATGCAAATATCTGCACAACACTCTAATATCTGGAAGTTTATTGAAGCGATTCAGCGTGAGCAGAGCATCAGAACATTGCAAATTGAACAATATGTGAGTGGCCATTAAAGTAGCCCTGCGCGTAAGAAATGTAGGGATTGCGCCAAGACTTTTCAAAGTAGTTGCGAATTATGATAGCAGTAATGTTTTAAAGTTTTTGAGAGGGTGTGGCACATAATATAAAATACTAATTAGGTATTGCGTGTAAATAATCTTTCAGAAGTTTTTTTAATTAAATTATTCCAATGAAATCTGTTTTATTCGAAATTTAGAGGTACATACATCATTTTCATTTTCAGGCAAATTAATTCAAAATCAGTAGATTTCAACTTTCTAGAAATATTGACAAAACTTTATGGTATGAAATAAATTAAGTTTTTGCGTTTCATGGTTTTTAATAAATAAATCATCGGCGATCTCTTGTAGAGTCGGTGAATTTTCCATTCGACGAATTGCTGGTCGGTGAATTTTCCGGTCGGTAAATTTTCCGTCGGTGAATTGCAGTCGGTGAACTTTCCTAGATCCCTTCTTGATATCCTTTGTTTGTTTTTCTCTGAGTCAGCAAAACCTTTCCTCCATTCCCCCGCCCGGAACTCAAAATTTTTTCCATGATAAATCTGTCTAATATTTAATGCATGAAAAGTCCTGGTTTCCCAGAAGAATTTTGGTATTCACTATGTTGTTAGTTCGGGAGATCGAGATGGGTAACGTTATATACATTTTGGGCTTACGGCACATTCTGTAATAAGTAAACTTCGGTTGATTAGTTGCAGAACTTGGACCTGCAGCAACAGCAAGAATACCTGAAGAATGCACTAAATCAGTCTGTGAAACACAGTCTAGAGCACTGATATTATTCGGCTGTCCGTCAGTGACCACATGATTGGTGTCTCAATATATCGTCTTAGTATTAAATTTCAAGGAAATGTTTTTGAGAAAGCATGGAGGAACATTTTAATTCGGAACACATCACAAGAGCGGCTCACCGAAGGACGACTTTCTTTTCCATCTAGCAGCTTACGTCTCCCAATATATTTTGCCCTCAGTGTCTCAGTGGTAGGTCAGCGCACAAGAGGGTGCGTTAACTTCAGTATATCAAATGCTTGTTTCATGATCATCTTTTGATGATCATGATCATCATTTGTCTTCATCGTTTGTCACCTTCCATTGACTTCGTCACAGCGTTTGTTCGTAGCTGCTGCTCGATGTGTTTCACTCTTACAAATGCTTTAAGACTTACCTAATTTTCGGGCATTTTCAGGTCACGGTTTCAGTTTGTGTTTCATCCGTCGGTTGAATCATCGACGCTTCTATGAGGACCCTTCAGATGCGCTGATTATTTCACGGTCGGTTTTTTGTGAAGTCAGATCGCTGACCAGTCGTAATCAGATTTTATTTCTAGTTTGTTTAGAGCCCGATATGCTGTCCATTTGTCATTTTCCCGTAATTTCGTGTTTCGTAACTCTCACATGTAAATACAGTTTCGGCAAACCTATCAGAAGTTATCGCTAAAGTATTTGATAATTGACTTGACTGGTAAATAGCAATACTTGCTGCTTCTTGAAAGTAACTTGGAACTTGCAGAGCCCCCCTTTTGCACCAGCTGTGTCAGCTTAACTCCACTCCTTTTGGCTAAATAAGTCTTTTAGATGAAGTCGAATTCTTGTCTCTTATTTTCTACTCTATTAGTACTATCTTCTTCCCTGTATATGTAAAAATCAGGGTTTACTAGCAAACCTCGCTTCCGGTATATCGGTTAAGAATGACAGTTGCTTTTCACGCCGTTTTTGGATGTACTCACCGTATTCGCACCGTCACTGCAGCTGTCTGAATAGGTTTTTATTTGGCATCTGTGCACAGCAAGTGCAAAAATGCCATGGATCCTTAGCCTGTTTATTTCGTATCATAGAAACAAAGAGACGTACGATTCCGTTGTGTAAGTCCCGAGAATGACTGGAGATTCTCTTCTGTTTTAATTTTGAGATCAATATAGAGGAAAATTATCTATTCAAATACCCATCGATTTGGAAAGAACTCACATTAATTACAAAAATTTTGCTGCCAAGTGCTCTTCCAAATTAATCTGCCATTTTCTCCTTTGTTCCTATCTTCTTCTTTCCTTGATGTTATAACTCCGTTTCAAATGGTGCCGCGTTAAACTTTGGCTGCTTTTATTGTTCAGTATATCTATCATATATTCTCTCTGTTTTTTGCCCTACTACCAGCTGTTAAAATTTGCACATTGTCATCAGAGTTGTAACGTTGTTTATTTGAACCACGTACTACAGCTTCTGCGTCTGAAGTCGAAGCGTCAAAGTAACGTTCAACTGGCAATATGTCGCGTGCAAAACTTTATTTCATTGATAACAAATAGTTTTTATCGTCTTATCAAGTTTATTAATGTTTTACGTTTTGACACTGCCGCTGAATTGTTAATTCCATTATTTGTCGAAATGTTAATTCGATTTCTTCTGGCACGGTAGCTGGAAGTCATCGTTGGTGTCCTTCTTTTATCATGTGGCATCGAACGGCTTAGATGTGCCAACACTGTCTAATGAACACTCACGCAGGGTTGAGTTCGTTTCAACATGGTTGCTATGTTTGAAAATCTGTTTTAGACAAGTACATTGTGTGCATGTATGAGAGTTCGATGTTGTAAAATGAACTGATGTTTTAGAAACAATTGTAGGAGTAAACTTGCCAAATTGTATTAGGCTGTTACACATTCGGGGCACTGTTTTGAATGATAGACAAACAATGGGTCATGGTCAGTAGGTTAAAGCGTGTTTTTCGTCAGTCGCCACTGTGTGTTATGCAAACTGCGATTTAGGTATTGGTGGCAACCTGGTTGCTGTACAAGCCAGTCGAATAGCTACTAGTCTTCACCGGGAATGTACCCTAGGCGTGCTTCCTTCTCACCTGAAGAAGCTTTCCAGCAGTTGCATAAATCCGTATTACACGTTTTTTGGCTCACGTGAGTTCAGTCGCTGCGGACCAATAAAATTTTACCCCCTCATCGCTGTTTCAGATAGTCATGCATCGGCTGCCAGGGTCCTGCTCTTTCTGGTCATTCCTGGCCATCTTCTTTTCCTGTATATGATTCATTCCGTACGTGCTGGTCACACCACTATCTCGCTGTTATTTGCCGTCAGTTTTCTGTGCGCAGCCGTTTTTCAAGAAGCCGTTTTACTGCATATCTGCTTCGTTATGGTGCATTATATGTGGAAAAATAAGGTAATTCGTTTTGATGAATAAAAGTAAAGTGAATATAAATTTTATTTTAATGTGCGGACACCTTTTTATCTCTATCAACGAAGGGTCAGTTATCGCGTAGGTTCGAGTGCGCTGAACAACCGAACACTGAGTTCTGAAGATTTCTAATTGCCATACCTGGCATCAAACTGTCGTAACGTTTCTCAACTCTTCGATTGTTTC